TAAATTTTGCTTTATTATAAAATACAACAAATATTTTTATGCAACCTTCAATTTTATTAAATATTGTATATGACTAATATTTTATGAATTATTTTATGATTAGTTAAATTATTTTGCATATAGTATATATAATTCAATACTAATATTTCTAATATAAATGATTATATAATTAAATAAAACGAAGTTAAACGATTCACAATAATACAACTGGCAGAAAAGTTTTTACAAATTTGTCAAAAGTTTTTAAAAGAGAAACGATTGTCTCTCTTTCCTCTTTTTCTCATTTTTCTAATTACTTTCATTTTTATAAATTTTTAGTAGTTAGATATTGAGTGAGATAATGAGTAAGATACCAGCGTTAAAGATGCTCTTACAAAAATCGACTTTTTGTTTTGTTTCACATGCTTCGAAGAGCTTCATGCGGGAAGTAAAAGAATGGAGCAAAAGATAGTATGACTGACTCATAGGTCGATGGAGGTCTAAAACTCGTTGAGACTGGTTTTGGAACCATGACTGACTCATAGGTCGATGGATGAAGCCTGATACTGAATTATTGCGAGTGGACTTTGAGAGGAATTGCGCTTAGGAAGTGAACAATGTTTAGTCCAATGTATGACGACATTATTTGTGATGTGGTCTTGTTTTATAATTCAGCACATATACAGTTATACGATCAACGTGGACAATATTAGTCAAGATATTTTTCAATCCTTCCAACAAAAACAAAAACAAAATAATGCTTATCAGAATTATTTGTGATATTTTCTGTATTCTCATCTCCTAGTCATGTAAATCTCGCTTTCATTAATACTTAAGTTTGCTATTCAATGGCCAACCATCTTTTATTTACTTATTAAATTTGAATTTCATCCCACTTGACATTTTTTTTTTTTTGGATCAAAAAATGTATAAGGGATTTCTCCACTTGACATTCTATCTCCAATTTACATAGCCAATTAACCTTAGCCACACAACACATAAATGGCTTATAGTATTTATTAATCCATAAAGGACATAAGATTTCTTT